ATAACAGGATTCGAAGTCACAGTGGTTGATCGTGATTGAAAAGGCTTCATTGTTACATTTTGAAGTCGTTTACAAATTCGATCAGCAAATGCTATATCGGCATCCGATGCAAACCTAACATAATAAACATTTCCTTTCAATGATCGTCGTTTGTCATAAGATACGATGCGTAATTTTGACTTTAATTCAGACGAAAATTTGTTTGTGTAAAGAACTCATTGATACTTCATCATCTAGTACATAAAACGAAACTTTTATATGCAAAGCATAGAACTGTGGTATCATATAATTGATTTCTTTGAAAATCTTTTACAAAGTCTAACTCTCAGTTGTATGCGAATGTTCAAACATTTGTTTACAACATACCATTTCTTCGCAACCTTCTCCTTTTTATTCATGGTCGATTTTGTTTTTGTTTTTGTACTGTGAATTCAAATTCGATTTGCCATATTCGTTCCATTCTGAGATGTAAAAATGACATCCGGAATGATGATTCGATTTCACTTCTAGAGTGATCTTATTGAAATGCGTGGATATTCAATCATATTTATCGATAATGATGATGTTTTGTTTATTTTGTCTATTCTCCCTCATCAAACTGCGTTTATCTCTTTCAATTTCCTTGTTTTTCCTCAAAAACCTCTTTCACTCCTATTCATATTCACTGAACACGCAATCGTGACTAGTTTTTGCCCTCGTCATTAAATCTCCACTATAAACTTTGTACAATGGACAATATTGTTAGAATGACTAATTACTTTCAACTAATCAATCGACTTCGACAAACAAACTTCGATTCTCTTACTATTGTCTCTACGAAATAATAATACTCGTAACATTCGTTCCTCATATTTTCATTCGAATGCCTACACGAACATCGCTACCACTAATGACACGTAATAAACTAGAACTTATTTCTTCTCACTCTTGGAATCCAGAGTCACTATTATCCATCAAATCGATAACTCATATCGCAGCTCAAAACAGCTACTCTTTTTTCCAAGAACGGAAATCATACTGCTAGTACAAGACTAGACTCGATTACACTTACTAAATCGAAATCGTCACGTAATCAAAACCAACCAACAGCCAGCAGCGATGATCGACTTCTAATCTACAACAAATATAATACATAAGTCTAGCAAATCTACAATCAACCCGCTTTACCTAATATATATTGCACAAAAACTTGTTACCAACCACTCTTCAAAGAAAAAATCATCTGTCCACATATCCCTCTGCAGCTTCTCATATCATACTTTCGCTTTATCTATCGGCACGCAACATCTATTAACATCAATCTTATACTAAAATTTATAAACCGAAGGAAGACCTTCCACAATAAACGCACGACTAATCCAACGCCCACTACAACATCAATTACATCCAAACTATTTTCAACATCACATACAAAAAAGATAATTTTTTAAAAGTTTTCGTTCTTTCTTTCGTCAGACAACATGTACAGTACCGATATTGGTGACCGTGATTTAGTGCATTCAAAGATAGATTTTTGAAATAAAAATAAAGATTCACAAGCGGAATGAGTCGGACTATTATTGTGATCAACAGTCAGATCGTTTTGAAAATAAGAAGACTTTTTAGAAATGGTTAATACGTGTTGCAAGTATAAGATTTTCGGGATGTTTTTCGCGCATGCATTTATTGAGTTTGTTTCTAATACTGGGTATAAGATTATGGGAAATCGACAAAGTTTGAGTTGAAGAAGTATAAAGCATATTAATGGAAGAGTACGAAAGGAGTGCAAGAAATTTTCGAAATAGGAATGAAGAAAAAAGTGAAAAGGAAAAGTGGATAGTCTAATATAATTCAAAGTTTCATGCGTAGTTGTCTGTTCTGCTTTGCAGTTGAATTGGTTCGTGCTGCGTTTATTATGGCAGACTGAACGGTGTTGGCGTCATGATAGTCAGTGGGGATTGAGTTGTACCTATTTTGTTGCCAATAATTTTTGCCAGTTCAATAAGTTGATTTTGATCTGTGCTGTTTTTTTTTTTGCGATTGCAACAGAATAGAAAAGCACAGTATAAAAATGCAATCGATCCAAGGATGATTACCAGAACAACCATGTACATAACCCAATTTTGTTGCATGTCTTTCAACCAGACTACTGGTGCGGTTAATAAATCTCCGCCACTCTCGATAATCTTGCTTGCAGTTTTACCAGCACTGTTCATCACCGCTTGAACTGGTGTGTTGTTGGCTTTGGCTGCACTATCCATAATATTGAACTTGACATCGGAAGCATCACCTGAAATACTCATGCTGTACGTGTTCTTGAACTGGGAATTGCCTATGATAAATGCCATATTTGGGAGAAGATAGTGTAATTGAATTTTGTATGTGAATGTTTAAATGTGATATTTTTTATTATAAGAGAAATTATGTTATACTTTTATATGGAAGTTGAAAAAAGAAAGATAAGAGAACACATCTTTCTAATCACGTATACAAGCAAAGCTGTTTGATGATTATCAAGAGAATGCGATATTGTCTGAATATATACACAGAAACGTTTCTCTTTGGTCAAAGAAAAGAAGTGTTACGAATGAATATAATACATGATTCTCGATTATTATTGTTCTTTATTTGATTTATTTCAATTCAGAAGACACAAAACGAACACGAAATGAAGTATTTTTCATCCAATCTCATGAAAGTAAAAATTTTAAGCTATACTTATACATGCAAAAAGAAAAGTGTCATTTCACATAATGGAAAGGAGGATATTAAACTTCGTATCCGTCATCCATTGTTGCACTTTCAATAGAATATGCAGGTGGTTCTTGATCAACATCTGCTTCTGGTGTTGGCCATTCACAATAGTGAAAGATACAGCACATAATGATGCAGAACATCATTATGAAAATTATAATCAAATTGATCAACATGATTGCGTTGTTAATCGTGAGCAGATGCTCGAGTTTATGCACTCCAATATGAAGTTTTTCGTCAACCATAACCGTTATGTCACGAAGTAATTTGCCAGTATCTAACATGACATTTACAACATGTGTCAAATATTTTGAGACAGTTGATACGATTGAATTACCCATTCTAAACAAAATAAAAAATAAAAAATTCAAACAAGAAAACAATCACAACATATTCAATATCGAACTCTGGATGCATCCTCTCTTTTGTAATAATTCAAAAATTCCCAATACAGACTTACAATATGATAATTTGCAACAGCGGACGAAAAATTATGCTTTTCAACTTCAATATAATCGATTTAACACAATTAATAAGCTTTCGCAAGATATCGAAACAAGCAACTTAACACCGAAAAAGAACCAAACGAATGAATTTATTTCAACACGTAATCTTAAAATTATACTACGTGTTCGAATAATATCCTCGATACACGAAAAGCCATACAAATTGAAGATGATAAATTATTTTATGTAAAGAAAGAAACGCATCCAAGGCAATAGAAAAGCCGATGACGAGGGAATTATCTTTACTCAATGTCGAATAATATCCTTTTACTTTCTCAACCACAAAGACTATTAAATGATCGATCATTCGCTAACGCGAAAATCGTTATCATCAACATTGGCCATTGCACTACCATACATTTCTATATATATGGGCTAGGACAAAAAAATTCATATCGAAAACATTTCGTTTCAATTATTCCACCATCTTTTCAAATACTGCCTTTTCCCTTTTAACAAATTCTCAATAAACTGAATTTTTGAATTTAATAATATAAAATAATTTACAGACATAAATTCATCTCCAGAAGTTATTTCTTTCTTTCCGTTAATACTTCAATATGTACATGGTTCCCAAGATTCCACTCGCGAAAAAANGAATGTTGTCGGTTTGAATACAGCACTATTCAGAACTGACAACGGAATGGATTTGTTCTCGCGTAAGCTTTACTTTGTCTTTGCGTTGCAAATGTTGACTTTCTCACTTGTTTAACTTGAAATAGATTCAAATGTAAACGATTGATTGTATTTTCAGCTCTACTATCCTCTTCCGTTACAGATATGTCGGTTTCAATGATAAGATATTTACAATCTATCTGTACATGTGGGTAATATGACTTCTCATCGTTTCATTTTTTCTCCTTAAAAATCTGCTTCCCGTAAATTTTTTGATTTCATGATAAACCAGGCGAAGAATGCTGTAATATGCTAACTCGATGGATCAAACTTTTTACACAAATTTACCATTTTAGGCTTTCAGAAACGTTAGCCGGAGGGAGCTACTGTCGCTACAGACCAAGAGTTCTAGTTGAAGCGATGAGTGTCGATCTTTCAGATCGATACTCATCGCTTTCGTTGCTGCACTCATGAATATGCAGAGCAACTTCATAGCTACCTTTCTTTCGTTCTTACATTATTGGCTTTGCATATGTCGCTAATAGAAATACTTTAGAGAGCTCACCTTCCATGATGCGTACTGTTCGCTTCTATTCATCGTTGATTACTTCTCTCGACTCATAGTTCCTCTGCTGCACACACTTCTGCAAAACGCTCTGTTGTTGTTGAAGCCATGCGGGGTACCTCAGGCTAAATGTTACCTTCCACTTCTCTCGATAAATTTTGTATGATCACAATCCTCGTAGTCCTCGTTTACAAAGAAGGTCCTTACGGCTTTTTACCTTTTTCACTGCTTAGAAACAACGCCTGCCAAAACTGTTCCTGACACCTTTGAGTCCATAATCAGATGGCCCCTATCTCTTTCGAAGCTCCACAACCGCTTGGTATTTCTCCAAAAAGCCTCGCCACCACCAATACCGAGCAGACCAACTCTCAGCCCCGAAACCCCTTCAAAACCATGTTTATGAAGTTTTGAACATTTTCAGGAAAATAGTGATTTGACCTCTGACCTTTGACCAGCGACAGACACACAAACAAACAAACAAATTTCAGTTTTTTGACCACTTTTTTTAGACATGACCTTCCTTACAATTGAGGGAAAAACATCAACAAAATATAAATTTAAACCTTCACACGAACTATAATCTCACCGAGGAGACAAATTTCAATATATCAAATAAAGGCGAGTTGGTGTAACTGAGGATATCAGTGTGAATATGAAAGGAGTAAAACATTCTCATTCGCACCTACACCCTCACACCCTCACGGGTCCAATATTGTGACTGACCACTCAAAAAACTATTACGTCAGATTTTTCATCATTCAACAACCGATGGCAATCGATTTGTTCTCAATTCAACATCGGCAGAAAGCCAACCCATTTTAATGTGCTTTCTATCATCCAAAAATCTATTCAAATAAGATTTTGCGCGTTTTTTTACATGGGTAGTTATAACTGCAACAGTGATCTGTAACCATCTATAAATAATTGACCTACTCAGAGAGACAGACACTTGAAAAACGCGTTTAAACGATTTTTTGTAACTTGTGCCTTCTAAAGGACAAATATCTCATATTTTTCTTTTCTTATTTCTTTCTTTCTTCCTTCTTTTTCATTTCTATCGAAGTCCCCTTTGTGCCGGTTTTCCCATTATATATTATTTTCTGCAGTAATATTTCTGTCGTCAGCAGTTCTCAGTACAGCAAGAAACAGAAAAAGAGAAAAAGAAAGTATTGCTGGTGCACTTGATAACAGATGCTTTATTTTATTAGTCATAGTGACAATAAACAAAAAAAATGAGATAACAGGTTTTTTTCCCTCCATAAATAAGGTGTTTATGAAACGCTCGTTCTGACAGACGCATACACTACTTTATTTCAGAATCGTAAACTTAAGAAGAAGTTTTCACAATAAGAAAACGAAGAAAATCACGGAAAGAAATCTTACCGTTTTCGATCATCAAAACTATATTCAACGTTTACTATCGTTTTTTGAAACGCAACAGCAATACACTATGGCTAATAATGACGACGAGAACTCAAAACAATCCAGCGCTGTTTCTAATTCAGGTACAAAATGTTTCATCTATATTGAACAGTCTCATATACAAGTCAGCAAATAAAATCTCTTCTCAACGCTCACCTCAGTCAGCGCACATATCAGTGTAGATTTTTGGTATATTACATATTCTTTAAATTAGATGTCTTACCTACAGAAAAAAAAACTTATAAGAAAAAGTCAGTGAATAGGAATCAAGGGTTTCGTATTTTATTTCAATAGTAATATAAAGTTAGTTTTGTGCTTTAACAAAATAATATAAATTTTTGTTCAATAGATACAACTGTACTACCATGGAATGCAATTGGTTCAACGCGCTCATCGGTTTTTGAACTTGAAAAGAGTTTAGAACAAGAGATAAACAAGTTATTACTACAACAACCATCTTTCTCAAAAACGGACTCGGTACCACCTCTGCATGATGGTAGAAATATTATGAAAGGTCTAGTGATCGAATGTCCTCCACTTAATGAAATGAATGTTGGAACATGTGCTTACGGTCATAGCAAGTGTTCTAATGTAGTTTCAGAATCTCAACATATAACACTTTGTGCGAAACACTATACTGAAATGATGGAAAAGTTTGATGACAAAAAAAATATCGCATCTGTACTTCCACCAAACTATAATCAAAAAGTATACAGTGATATTCTTCCAGTGATAGATCGATGCATCGATCTTTTGGTGACTTTGAAAGCATTTGATTATCACGAAAAACAGTTTTATCAGAGTTTAGTCTGCGTCAAAGCATTTATTTTGGTTTATCGTCGGTATTTAAATCCTGGAAATGAACAGCTTATGAATACGGTTTTGATGACACTACGAGAGTACCCAGAACGATCACAAGCTATGATATCGACCGTTGTTTCTGTATTGGGATATTTTGGAATTATGTTGGTTGTACGAGATTTAGGTTTGGAATTACCAGTAGGTGCGGCATTAGCTACTAGTGGTAGTTTGACAGCTCTGATTGGAATCGTTGCACCCAACATGTTCGGTGCTAGAATTGCTGCTTTACCTGCTTTACCAATTATATTAGGTAGTGCAATTGGCGTTACCGGTGTAAGTCATATTATCACAAAATTATGGGATTGGAACAAACCTCCACCTCCACGAAATGAATGGTGTCGAATCACTCTTTGGCTGTTCACCTAAGATGACGTGGCTGTGAGCGACACTCCTGAAAACTTGATGGTATAGCTACACTGACAATCGTGGTTTGACCACTGTTAGCATCATTGGATGTTACTTCATGACGCTACCTTCTATATAGTTGTTTTCTTTCATTTCTATACATATATATATAGAGTAAAGTGGGGCAATTGCATAGGATTTTTCAATAATCTTTTTTGTTTTTACTATAATTTTGCCATACGTTGGAATTTTTTTATGAGATTTGGTAGACAAGTAGAGTAAGTGCTGCTCTATCCATCCGTGCAAGAATCACCTGAATTCGACTCACAGGTGCGTATTTTCGATCTGTTTTCCATTTGCCCCACGACAGGTTCTCCAATTACCCCATCGGGGGCAATTGGATAAATGTACTATAGAGACGGGGCAATTGGATAAATCCTTGTATTTGACTAGGAATAATTAAAATTAACTTTTCTCATTAATAAAATAATATTAAAGAAAAATTCCAACACATATCGATGAAGTGGATCATTATCTACAATTGGTGACTCATATTCATGTAAAAAACATATTTTAAAAATCCTTTGTTCGGATAAAACTAAAGAAGAAATTCAAAAAAAAGCTTTCCAATTACCCCATCGGGGGCAATTGGATAACTAATGATACGTTATGGGGTAATTGGATAAACATGTAAAAAACATTAGCAAACAATGAATCTTTTTCTGAACAAGTTTTTGAGCGATAGAAGCACTCTATTGAAAAACGTTTTTTATCAGCTATGGATGAAATTTAATTCTTAATCATCGCAAACGAACAATCAAGCGCCTTCTGGTATTATCAAACGTTTTCCTTTGAAAAGCAAGGGGACTCGTGGGTTTATTTCGCTCAATATGATTTTGTTTTCCATATTGTCACATTTGACAGAAGATGAATTTGGTCACTGGTCATTGTTCTTTTGGAGAAATACGATACATGCTTGTTGCCTGGACATTTCTTCTGGTCTATCTTTTACTACCAAGCTCTACCAGTCGGCCTGAAAGTTTGAAATTATGAAAAATCATCCAGGTCTAGGGAAAGTTTGGATGGAAGAAATCAACGGTCGATACGGCGGTATATAAGCATCGATTTGTGTTGTTTTGGTTGAATTCGATCATTTTCCGAAGGATGGTTAGAGATTATAAAAGAAAAAAACCAAAGGTCGTTTACGACGAAGAGAAAGTAGCTGAAGCTATTGAAAAAATACGTCGCAAGGAATGGACATATGAAAAAGCGTCAAATGAATCTGGTATCCCTGTTGGAACACTCGCCTCTCGAATATCAAGAAACTCGAACGGTCCTGTTGGACGTCCCACTGCTTTGAATACAAACGAAGAGAAACATTTGGTCGACTTGATCTTGACGTTACAAAGCTATGGGGAATTATCGGCTATCGAAGATGTATTGAAATATGCATCTGACGAGGGAAGTTCCCCAGGTGTTTAAGGCCTTTAGGTCTAATCTTTTGGCAACAAGTAGACCTCGATTAGGTTTGAAAAACTCCAAGAGGATTCCTGCCCTCGCGTCTTTATTGCAGAGTTATAGCCATTTTAGTGGAATTTCAGCCTTTAGCTCAGTGTGAGCCAATAAATCGAATGACATTATTTCGAGCTGAAATTTCGCCCATAGATAGCCATACTTGGGACTAGAATNGAAAAACGTTTTTTATCAGCTGTGGATGAAATTTAATTCTTAATCATCGCAAACGAGCAATCAAGCGCCTTCTGGTATTATCAAACGTTTTCCTTTGAAAAGCAAGGGGACTCGTGGGTTTATTTCGCTCAATAGGAGTTTGTTTTCAATATTGTCACATTTGACAGAAGATGAATTTGGTCACTGATCATTGTTCTATTGGAGAAATACGATACAGGCTTGTTGCCTGGACATTTCTTCTGGTCTATCTGTTACTACCAAGCTCTATCAGTCAGCCTGAAAATTTGAAATAATGAAAAATCATCCACGTCTAGGGAAAGTTTGGATGGAAGAAATCGACGGTCGATACGGCGGTATATAAGCATCGATTTGTGCTGTTTTGGTTGAATTCGATCATTTTGCGAAGGATGGTTAAATACTATAAAAGAAAAAAACCAAAGGTCGTTTACGACGAAATAAAGTAGCTGAAACTATTGAAAAAATACGTTGCAAGGAATGCACATATGAAAAAGCGTCAAATGAATCTGGCATTCCTGTTGGAACACTCGCCTCTCGAATATCAAGAAACTCGAACGGTCCTGTTGGATGTCCCACTGCTTTGAATACAAACGAAGAGAAACATTTGGTCGACTTGATCTTGACCTTACAAAGCTATGGGGAATTATCGGCTATCGAAGACGTATTGAAGTATGCATCTGAGTTTGTGGAGATTATGCATTTGGAATCTCGTTTCAAAAATGACCAACCGACGCGCGAATGGTATTATACTTTTATTACACGATGGAAAACTAAATTGAATGTCATGACAAGTAGAATATTGGAAAAGGCGCGTGCGGATGTGACAGTTAGCACGGTGGATGGCTGGTTTGCTAAATTGTATTCCATTTTGGCCAAGTATGACTTATTTAATAAACCAGAGCAGATATTCAATTGTGACGAAAGCGGCTTTCGCGACGATCCTGGAAAGAAAAACGTTGTTGTGAGCCGTGATACTAAGTATGCGAACAAGTAAGTGAATGATATTCGGAACAATATTTATCTTCAAAAATCTTATATTTGATGGATCTTTAGGGTACATGGTGGCAGCGGCAAGGACAGAACCACGGTCTTACTGACAATTAGTGCTAGTGGAATATGTTTTCCTCCATACGTTATATATAAAGCAAGGCCCTTGCATGATATTTGGTGTCCTCGAAATGCAATTCGAGGAACTGTTTACAATTGTACAGATAGTGGCTGGATTAATGAAGAGACGTTCTTTGATTATTTGAAAAATATGTTGATTCCGTTAACCAAAAACATCCCGCATCCACTTCTTCTTATTTTTGATGGTCATACTTCTCATTTATCGTTAAAAACGGCACGATTAGCAACGGGACATCAAATTCATCTTTTATGCTTGCCAGCATATTCAACTCACTTGTTGCAGCCATTGGATGTTTACACCTTAAAATATGTGAAAGCGCAATGGAGAAGCTTATTATGGGATTACAATAATAGAAACTCGTCAAAAAAACTGGACAAACCGGATTTCATTCGATTATATCGTCATTTATATGATTATGCTTTGTTACCAACACATTGTTCATCTGCGTTTAGGAAAGCTGGGATCTTTCCGTATGACCCTCGAGTAGTGAAACGAGACAGGTTAGTTAAAACATCAACATCATCATCAACAGTAGCAATGAATACTTTTCGACGTTCAAAGTCAGTCGGATTTGATTATAATGATAATCAGCCAACAACAATTACTCCAATTCCTTTGCAAACATCGTATTCGAACAAAAGACGCGAAGTAGTGAAATATCCATCGAATCCATCTCTATTTTCTGGTAAGTAAGGGAACAATTACAGCGTTTTTTCATCATCTGTATTGGAGGTTATGGTGATGCTGATAAATCGAATGAACCAGAAACATCATCGAATGATGCTCAACATGTGATAAGTCAACTTGATACTACTATTACAACTCTTGATTCGATTATGCTATCAATGCCAAACACTTCGATTAGATTAAGTACTAATCAACATTGCCCTACCAGTTTTGACTCATCCACATGTACAACAAACGATGATTTACCTGATTCATCAGTTTCTACTATGCATGACATGTCTTCATTTTCACCAACAGCAAATAGTTCAATGGTTTCAGCAATATTTTTCACTTCGCGAGGTAAGTTCCTATAGTTGTAAAAGCACATGAACACTAACAAACGTTCATTTGTATTTAGAAGAAGATCCTTCTTTGGTTGCAATTGAAAAAATTGTGGCGAAACATTTTCTCGGACGTTCTTCCAACAGCACAAGAGGCAAAAGACACATCGCTTCTAGTGGAAATGACAGGAACGTTACAGATTTAAATGAGTTAGCCCTCATATCAATCAAAAAGAAGAAAACGACGAAAAAAAAACAGCTAAAACAAGAAATTCGAAAAAGGTAATCAATGCGCGAGCACAATCTAATGTGTCAACCGTTACCGCTAATACTATGTTACATGAACCGATGAAAAGCGTAGCAATAGCTACTTCTCAAAGCACTGCATTACCACCCATTACTTACATGTTAACATCAGATGCTTCCCCAACGATATCGTCATTCCACTCAAGTGTTGGAATTTGTGGTCAGCTACAGAGTTTAACACAAACGTCTACCATTCAATGTCACTTATGTTTCAATATTATTCAAGCACTGGAAACAACTAGCAATTGTCACCAATGCTACAAGATCCTCTGCTGGAAATGTAGCACCAAAATGAATGATGCTTATCAACTTTGTTACCCCTTTCGATCATTTTATGCTAATCAGCAACATAATTACTACAGTTACACACAATTATAACATATTTTATTCATCTCTTTCAACACCTTTGCGAAATAAAATAAATAGTACAATCCTATTGAGCGAAATAAACCCACGAGTCCCCTTGCTTTTCAAAC